CTGCCCCCCTCCCTGCCTGTCCCCCGACCATCCTCCTGCCCGACCCCTGGCAGTCACCCTGCCCGACCCCCTGCCCGCCTTGCCGGCTCCTTTCCTTTCCATGTCCGTCGCCCCGCTGACCCTGCCTGTCCCCCTGCGAACCCTGCCTGCGCGCTCTGCCTGTCCCCCTGCCTGACCCCGGCCGTTCCCTTGCCCGTCCTTGCCTGTTCCCGCAGCCTGTCCCCCTGCTCGCTGTGGGCACCCGGCTGCTGGGCTCGTCTGCATGTCCCCCACCTCTCCCGCTCTCCCTTCTGCCCTGCACCACCTTGCCCTGGCCCTGCCTGCCCCTTTCCGTCCTCTCCATGTGCACCCCTGTGCCCAGCTGCACCCTGCAACTCCAGCTGTCACCTGGCCTCCTTGTCCCTGCCTTCTCCCCCGCAACCCCGCTAGCTGCACCCGCTGCTTGCCTTCAGGCCCTGTGCGTCCCACTGTCCCTCCTCCGCCTGTCCCACTCCATCTCCTGCATCCCTCGCCTCGTCTGTCTGCCCTGCACGTTCATCTGGTTCGTTGCATGCGTCCGTCTGTTGAGACGTTCCTTCGCCTTTCCTCCCTTTCCATTCATTTCCCATTTATTTAGCTTTTGTTCGCAGTGTTGGCCTTGCCTGTCTGTCCACTGCGTGCAGCTTCCTGCCCACGACATGTCTACCCCTCTCTGTCCACCCATTCGTTTACAAACTGTGCCATCCATCCCTCCGCAGTATCGGCCATCTCTGTCCGATCCGGCCATTGCAGTTACGTGTCAACTGGATCCCTTCAGCCCAGCTTCCCATCCGTTTATGCAGGCAACCGCTGTGTCTGTGAACTTTGCACATCTGGCCGTTAACACCATCACTCTGCAAATTAGCTCTCTCTTGTCTATCTGCCCATCTCTCCTTTCCTTCATCAGTCTGTCACTCAGTTCATTGCTTTCTCTATCTTCCTGTGGCATCTATATCTCATTTGTCCACAAAATAAATCTCTCTCTATTCTGTACACTGCCCACTCATCTTCTTTATCTACCCTCCCACCCAAAGCATATACATTTACAGTATCTGTGGGATCTGTTGCATTACACATATGCTTGTTATATTCACATACAAAATTTATGGGCACACACGTTCTCGTACAACACAAGTAATGTGTATTGGTGCAACAACACTGTACTGTTCTTTTTCTGTCACTGTCATCACAGTTTATAAAGAAGTTGTGTATTTGCTAACGTACGGACGGTTTTCTCAGCATGTATTTTTGGTTTTATTATGCTTTAATAGGCCGTTGTTACGAGATCTGTGGTAGGCTTGTAGTTCCATTTGGTATTCAGTTAATTGCTTGCCTTTGTAACACTTCCAAATCTACTCTATGTAAAACATAGGCAGACACAGTGAAAATTTTTGTCCCTGAAATATTACAAGGTACCAAATGGGCCCTGGAGGCACATTTGAACGGCATCTAGAGTAACAAATGAGGACACTGACTACGTAAAAAATCCCATTCAGAGGCTGACAAAAATGATAAAGATTCTTAGGAAAACAAAAAGAAGAACAATCTGCGTTTGGCTCAGTACGGAAAGAAGTCAAACGGATAAGGGCAGATGAGAAAATGCCTTTCCTGCAATAATTTTGAGTAGCCATCGGGAGGGTTCGATTCAAGCACCAGAATTACAGCCTCCATTGGAAAGGCCAGCTTGCACATTTATCACCTACGCCAAATTTAGTTAGGACTTACAGTACAAAATTCCAGCAAGGACACCGGTATTTCTGAAACATTTCATGCAGCAGACTCTTTTGTTTACAAATAATGGGTTATGTCAGGCATTTGGTGACATTTGGTTTACTGTGATAATTTCACTCATTTAATTCTGGTGTTACTGAAAAGTATATTGAGAACAGTCAGTAATGATATTATGATGACAGCAACTGCTTCATTTGATCGCCTAGTGTGTGAGTTTATTTTTACGGGGGAAAATGCAAAGGTTGAAATTATTAATAGCAGATATTCTGCCAGTCTAAGCGGGGCATAGCTTAATTTGTTGAACAAGCAGGTTCGTTATTGAATGTTTTTTCCCCTCGATCTTGTGAACCCTCTCTGTTAAACTGAGACAAGAATATGTGAAAACTGAAACAAAATCCCTTGTTTGGCATTGACCTTTCAGTGGTTACTAAAGAGACTTTTCCTGTGAAAATCAGTGGATATCTGAAAGTTAAAACTATTCTTAAACTGACAAGATAGGAAAGTACAAATGCTGGTCTTTTCAAGGTACAGTTGTAACGTCTTTAAAGCTATCTAACTGGACAAATCTAGTATTCTGGAGAGCCTTTACTGGTTTCTGTGGATCTGACACGTTCAACTGTAGCCCGATTATGAACGTTACTGTGGGAAGTCCCTTTTCAATTCATTTCTATTACAAATTCTGGATATCTGATTCAGTGCATGCCTTCTGGCTGGTGCAGTCTTTTAGCTCTTTTGATCAGCTGCGTTCTAGTGTTGTTTCTGAATCCAGAATTGCACAAAAGCTACATTTTCTTTTTGACTTAATCTTGCTGATCTCTCCTTATCTTGCAGACGATCTGGCCTCATCTAGAGTCCGCCTCTATTTCTTCATCTCGAATGAAGGGAACCAGAACTTGTTTGTCGTTCAAGCCAGCCTGTGGCTTTACTTGAAGCTGCTTCCATATGTCTTAGAGAAAGGCAGCAGGCGAAAAGTAAGAGTCAAAGTCTATTTCCAAGACCCGGACACTAGCAACAAGTGGAATGTGGTTGAAAAGAAAGTTGATCTCAAAAGAAGTGGTTGGCACACTTTTCCCATGACAGAGGCGATCCAGGCTCTGTTTGAGAAAGGAGAAAGGAGACTGAACTTGGATGTTCAATGTGAGGGCTGTGAAGAGTATTCAGTGCTGCCAATTTATGTGGACCCCGGGGAGGAATCCCACCGGCCTTTTTTAGTGGTGCAAGCCCGTTTAGCTGATAACAAACACAGGATCCGGAAAAGAGGTCTGGAGTGTGATGGCAGGACCAATCTATGTTGCAGGCAACAGTTTTACATTGACTTTAGACTCATTGGGTGGAATGACTGGATCATAGCACCATCAGGTTACTATGGGAATTACTGTGAAGGGAGCTGCCCGGCCTACTTGGCCGGAGTCCCAGGGTCAGCTTCCTCTTTTCACACCGCGGTAGTGAATCAGTACCGAATGCGGGGGCTGAACCCGGGCACCGTGAACTCCTGTTGCATTCCAACCAAACTTAGCACAATGTCAATGCTGTACTTTGATGATGAATACAACATTGTGAAAAGGGACGTTCCCAATATGATTGTGGAAGAATGTGGTTGTGCTTGATTTAAGGTGTGTTTTTGGGGGGGAGAGAGAGAGAACATTCCCGTACTAGATGGTATTGGAGGAAGTTTCACTGTGTATCCAGGCATCATTGTTGAAAAGTCACTGTGGAAAAGTTTGACTTAAAAAAAAAAAAATCATTTCACTTTGGTGTCAGGACAGTGGCAGTTTGTGGATCTTGGACACTTATATATTCTACCACTTATAAGTTAATGCTATGAAATATCTTAAAGATACACACACACACACACACACAGACAAAACACGTGCACACGCACGCACACACACACACACACACACACACACACACACACACACACACACACACACACACACACACACACACATAGACGAACACGCGCTCATATACACACAGACACACACACAGACACACACAAGGCAGCTTGAAAAAGGGATGTAAGAGGAAGTCAGTGACCAGTGACAATGTAACTAAATGCCTGCCAGTACAAGTGAATGGCTCAGCAGCTGTTTCCCCACCTGCTAGCGAAGTCAGACCGAAATGAGCTCCCTTTGCTCAGGCAAAAAGCACAAACTAAGAGAACGCAACTTATTCTTGCACGCAGGTGTCAAAATGACCAAACTTAGAAAATAAGAAGAGAGAGAAAAAAATAAAAGCAGACTGTCACCTCTTAGGTCTAAAGGGAAGCTGCAGGACACCTGCCTTTGTAGGTGATCACTTCCTCTTATTTTAAATTTATCTAAATATAAACATCACAGATACCCGCATCTTCCTACCGCACTTCCAGTAAGGAATCATGTGATAACACCAGAGAGAGCGAGAGCGAGAGAGGAAAGGAAACAGATACATAAGCAACTGCTGTATTTCTAACATCAGACTGTTGCGAAGTCAGAAGCTGGGCTGGCATTGTTTGATGCTTTAACTGACCACTAGAAATCCGTGGATGGCTATACCTGTTGTGTCTCGGAAAAGGGGATTTGGTATTGTGTCTGGACTGTGTTGACCGTTAGCATCTCTCACTGTTCTAAGAACAAAAAATCAAAGTTGCAATCTGTGTTCTTCAACAGGCGACTCAGCAAGGACACGTCACGTGGGGAAAAACAAACAAACAAACGCTACCACGACTAAACCAATGAACCCTAAAGAGGAATGACAGTAATACAGTGGAGACACTCTGAAAAATGCAGTGCATTTAATAACAGGCGAGGAACATTTTAACAAGTCTTGGAAAGGAGGAGAGAGGAGAGTGCTTTCAATTTCCTTACCAGGAGGTGTCAAGGATGGCCATAAAGATCAGAAAATAATGATACAGCATAGCACTTGCAAACTGCTTGAATGCACGTATAATAGCACTTGCAAATTTCAATGCCTTGAAAAGTGGTACTTGATAGTGCACTTATCTTTGCTCACTATCTAGGTAAACAGGTGCCGCATGAGCTATGCAATTTAAAGTGTTGACCCATACTAGACAAAACTGGACTTATGATATGACTTTTTTATATTTTTTTATACTTGAAATTAAATCTTTTGCTTCTTTTTTAAAGCGAATGATTGCTTTTAATGTTTGCACTGATTTAGTTGCATGATTAGTCAAAAAACTGCCATTTGAAAAAAATGTTATTTTTATAGCAGCAAAAAATGAATACAGTTAAATGTATTATACATAAATTTTGGAACCAAAGAGGCCAACATATTAGTTATAATTTTTATGAGATGGCAAAGCCATCATATATCATGTAGTCATACTGAGCAATCCCTCACGAGGCCTACCAATTATTTCAGGGTACAAAATGGATTCTGTTTGTTCTATTCAGTGTCTTTTCTATACCATACGCACATGGAAAGTAGAGTGAAAAAATGACTATTGTAGAATACATTACAATATGTGCATCCTTTAAATCCAATTTTTATGTTTATTTAATAAAGTTCCTTTTAGGTTCTGTTCCATAATAATTTAAACCAAACAATTTTCACTTAGATTTGCTGTTGAAGTATTTTACATTTGTGTACAGTTTAAATAAATAAAAAAAAAAAGGAGTGAAAACTGCGTGTGCTTTTTTTGCAGTGTGTAACATCTGGAGAAACTTGGTTACTTTCCGCACCGAGTGTGGGTGCAGATGGTGAACTGTCGCATTAGACTGTATTCATATTAGTCACTGCAGAAAGCCTTGTCTCAGAGTTCAGCTGTTGTACTCTTTTTTTTTTTTTTTCCCCCGTCTATACATGTAAGCATCTGCTTATTTGTATCTGCATCAGTTAAGGGTCTCTCATGCTCAGCTGCTTAACGCCAAGGGAGCCTAAAAGGAGATATGGAAGAGTGTTCCGCATACCTGTCGGTAATTTAGAGCAAGTTCCTGGTTCACCTGCTATGTAAGAATGTAACTTGTTGTCTAGATCACTCCCTAATCTGTAAGAAGAGATAAAAAATCATGTAGAAAGTACTTCCAGGAAAAGCACGTCAAAACTCATTTTGATGAACATTTATTTTTAAATTAACTGGCACGAGGGAGATATGTTTGCGTAAAAATATGTCCTCTTTACTAATCAGAAATAAGAATTTTGGCAAATGCTCATAGCAAATCTTGTCAGCTATACATATATTTCTATACTGATTTCATTGATCTTCACAGATAAATTCTTCCTCCTAGAGGTATGACTACACGCAATTGAAGCTGACAAAAGGACTCCTGTTGACCTAGCAAATTTTAGGTCTCACCCTGAGACCTGGAAAGTGTTAGGAAAGCAAGCTGATACAACTAATGATGGGTTCTAGCTACAATTCAAATTCAAGTGTAACTCTGCCCACAGCCCTTCTTAAATTCAGACGTTTGGATTAAATGGCTTCATTTCAGGAAACCTCTAGAAATAATTTGGTGCCGCTGTGTCAAGAACCTGCTGCTCAGAATTTTGTCCCAGACCAAATTTTCTGGAATATTTTACAGCTGTCGACTCACCACCTCTAACCACACTTGTATTGCCAAATCCACTGCTCACCGTTCCTACTCCGTTTCACTGCAGATTTCTCTCCTATCTTTATTCTCTCGGTCAGCCTTCCTTCCTCAGCAAGGTGTTCCAGCATTGTGGCTACCAGATGGTTCAACCTTGTTGGTGGTGAGTTCAATACATTCCCTTTGAAATCAGTGGCAAATAGACCTGCCTTCAGTCTGAAGGTGTGTTCGACGTAATGTGACCTCAGCCTTTGTAAAGGAAAATGGGCTACATTCTTAAAAAATGGGTATTTAGAAGCTTTTTCCGTTGAAATCCAAGGCCCTGGAAGTTGGGCTTGGTTAGACTTTGTTCCTATCTGAGGGCAGTTGGTTTCTGGGGTCGAATCCAAACCCCACACCAGGCATCTCCCATGGAGAGAGCAAGGTGTCTCGAAGAGCAGCTTAAACGTGGGGCCTTGGTGAGCGGAGGGCTGCCTGCCACTGAAAGGCTGTGCGGGGGAGCCAGGAGCAGAGGCAGTGATGCTCCTATGTCGTCCGCCCCCCCCCCCCGCAAACTCACAACCAGCCAGGGATCCTAAGTGCTTTCAAAGAGTTCAGCAAAAAACACTTCCATTCTTGGTAGAAAATGGTGCAGCTGTTCTTCCTTGTTGTTAGTGATAAAATAATCAGGCTCAGCACAAGTGATTGCAGCCTTGTTGCAGAATGGACCCAATGGACCCGGTTCACACAGCATGAGCTGACTGGGGAAGAGAAGAGGGACCTGGATAGCCTCTATCTGGCTCATTTTGAGAGGAGAAAGGTGCACCCCGTACCACCTGGGTGTGGAGAAATGGCCAAGAAGCAGCTAACGTGCCCTTCCCTTCCATTATAGTAAATTTGTACCTAGGAGGATTAGTTCACCAAGAAAATTCAAGTTTACACCTCCCTTAAAGCTAGAGATTTTTCTGGGAGGGATGCTGGGTAGGAAAGGGGCACTTCTCAGTTTTCTTCCCCTGCCTTCCCTGCTCTGCCAGTAGAAGCTATGACTCTGAAGTTCATGGGGCAGAAATGCAGAATGCAAAGAGCATCCTCTGGGGACAGGAAGATCTGGATCAAGGTTCCCTGATCCTTTTATTTTATATGAAACCACCTGAAAAAGAGAGGAGCAGAACATGCTCCAAGCTCTCTGAGACGTGGAATCATTTGCTGGTTTAAGCATGCTGCTGAAAGCCAAGTATTCGTGAGGCCTGGTGCTGATAACAACCTGTCATACAGATTTCTAAAGCTAAAACAAAATAAAATCAAAAAGTTATTTAATTTTTAGGGCCCAGTTTGGGCTTGATTTTTCAGAGATGTGACAAGGCTACCATTCTTGCTAGTTTTTTTTTCAGGAGGAAGGCTGCGGGAACTCCACTTTTTGCAACCTCCACCTCCTACATATCTGAAATTAGGCAAACTGAAAAATGAGATGCCCAAATTTGATGGTTGCTTTTTGAAAAATTTAATCTGTATTTTTCTGTCTCTCATTCCCATCTTTATAAAGCTGAGAGTCCACTTTCATTGCCTTACGCTAGACTAGGTACTGAATTTAAAATACAACCTGAGTCAGGTCCAGACCCCCCTGAGGTTAAATGTCTCTCTGGTAGCTCTGTCAGGTTTTGAATTTGGTCCTGTAAATGCTAAAAAATTGTATTCTTCCATGGGGTAGACTGAAGCTCCGGAGTTAGAAATTCTTTGTCCTTTAAAATATTCTAGCACAAGCGAAAACCACGTCCCTGTGCCTGGAACTCCCACTGGTGTTAATGAGGACTGTGTGAAAGGAGTGACTGTCACGATGTGGTGCAACAGAGCACATGGTGGATTAACTCTGCATACATCATGTATTTCCACACATAATAGACACCTGCTCCAAAATTGCCAGGTCTCACCTGCTTTGCTTCGTTACTTGTGCGAGATGAAGTCAGCAACTGAAATTAATTATTGCATGCCCCCGCCACAGGATAAGAGGGAAACCCCTAACTGAATGAATCCTTCCTCATAATAATTTCTGTTTGGAGTGATTTCCAGTTAGAAGGGTTGAGCAACATTTTGCAAAATGGGTCAGGAGAATATATATATATATATATGTATTTTTTTTTTTTTGTCTAAGAGGAGAGTCTGTTTCCGTTAATATTTGTGTCAGTCTGCAGCAACTCCCCTATGGTCTGGAGATTTA